AGCTGGGAATTTTTGAAGGAAAAAATTATTACCAGCAATACGTTTTTGAAAAAAAAACTATTATAATACTATTTTTGAAGGAAAAAGATATTGCCAGAAATGAAAATTTCCTCGGCATTAAATAACCCATTGAGGTGTTGATATGCCGTAAAACAAAATAAACCAAACCAAACCAAACTAAACCAAAAAATACATATTCTGTTCATACGAATCTATCCGAAAAATCTTGTTGGCATTAAATAACCCATTGAGGTTGATATGCCGTAAAACAAAATAAACCAAACCAATCTAAACCAAAAAATACATATTCTATTCATACGAATCTATCCTAAAAATCTTGTCGGCATTAAATAACCCATTGTGGTTGATATGCCGTAAAACAAAATAAACCAAACCAATCTAAACCAAAGAATACATATTCTATTCATACGAATCTATCCTAAATATGTTGTCGGCATTAAATAACCCATTGTGGTTGATATGCCGTAAAACAAAATAAACCAAACCAAATTAAACCAAAGAATACATATTCTATTCATACGAATCTATCCTAAAAATCTTGTCGGCATTAAATAACCCATTGAGGTTGATATACCGTAAACCAAACTAGAGTAAACCGAAGATAGAGTCGTAAACAATTCTGAGAAAGGTGAGAGCGTCAGTAAATAGATTAGAGAGAATCTGACGAAGAGAATGATGTTGTTTTTATGAGCTTCGTAACGACTCTGTACGCGTGTGTGTTTGTATGTCTGTGTGTGTGAGAGAGAGAGATAAAGAGAGAGAGAGAGAGAGAGCGGGCAAGAGAGAGAGCGAGAGAGAGAGCGAGAGAAAGAAAGCGATATATGTTCGCGAGTTGGAAAGAGATAGAAAGCTTTGGCAAAGATGCGTGTGACTATGCTGCTGATGACATAGGTATTTACAGTTGGGATAGGAATAATTTTGAAAAATAGACCAACATCAAATACAAGGTGTTCAAATAAATAAATTTCAATATATCTTTTTTCCAGAGCAGAAATTTATTCTCTGGAATTGGAATGAAAGCAGTGATCACACCTACCCTCTTTATCACTTATAACCATAAATGGTATCCGAAAATTCCAGGAATCGGTTCTATAAAGGCATCTTTACGAACCTAATCTGCTTATTTTCTCTTCAATCTGAGAAGGAAAACAAATCACCTTATATAGTATCAAAAAGAATTAAACCATTTTCATAATTAAATAGAAAACATTTATTTATTGCAGCACTTAACTAGCTCCTTTGAAGGGCTTAGATTCAACCTTCAGCTTGTTCAGGAATTTGAGAGTCCATAAGTCTTTGCATATTCGCAGCATTGGAAGTTCTCCTGGCTGACATTTGATCAGGGTTTTCATTTGCACATGATTTTCATTTCCTCGCTGCAGCCTTGACTCTTTTGATTGCAATTTGGTCCTCTGTTGGCGGAGATTTCTCTTTGTGAGGCATATTGCTGCCACATGCAATAGCTAAAATTAAACTACAGAAGAACTGAAAATTAATCACTGTATTTAAGTCTTGCATTACTATTTAAGCTTACCTTTTAAAAATTCAATGATTATTCTTCTGCCGCCATTTAATTGAAAGACAATTTGATGTACGTAGGTCCTTACTTTCTATACAAACAATTATTTTTTTCACTCTTCTCTTAAATTCATCCCATGTTAATACTAGTGGTCGCTTCAAACTTTTGATCTGTTGTATAAATACACAGGACATAATCTAGAAAGTCAATAAATAGATTCGGGCTCTCATTTCCTCTTTGTACTCCTGCTGAGGTTTTCAGTGTTGAGGTCCTCGCCAGACATGTATAATTCCGTAGATCGGTAAAGTTCTTTTATTAGATCGATGCATTCAGTGGATTCGGAGCTTGGAAAGAGAATTCTAATGAATGAGACGAGGAGGTCTCTCTTGATATGGGGATATACTGCTGTGAGGTCGATAAAGCTGGTATACAGTTTCTTGTTAAAGAGGTAAGCAATTTCTTGGAGGTGTTTGATGACATATATGCCACCATTGAATCCTTATCAGAACGAAAACCCAACTGGGTCCTGTTGTAATAGCTGACACTATAATTATTCTAGAGGATTTATGTTAAAATCGAAAGTATTGATTGCATATTGTATTTGGGAGAATAAATACATTTGATATATAGTGATCCCCGATTATTATACATACAGATTTGTACTGATATTTTCGACAATCATTTTTTCATATATACACAGTCGGATTATCCTATAGATAATAATGGTATCCCAAATTTCCAGGAACCGGTTCTTTTCAATCTGAGAATGGAAACAAATCAGTTTATAGTATCAAAAAGAAACCATTTTGATAATTTAATAGAATATATATATTTATTACGTATCGTAAACTAAAATCTACTGGATGCTTTAGTACACATCATCAGTGATGTTTCTAGCCGAGGTTCATTAGGGGTTTCAGGTCTTTCAACATCATACACCCGCTCTCCAGGGTGACCCAACCGATACTGATCGGGTATCGACGTGTAGCTTCCGTTAGCTACAATATTTTCCATCCTCCCGACCACAGACTGCGACTTCTCTTGGCAATTTATGGCCCGATCCCAGATTACTTCCGGTTCATCAGCAATGCGTGATCTTCTTTAAAAAAGGAAGTAAACGCAAACACAATTTCTATCTGGTCAGAAACATGGCGACATGCTCCGCTTGAAGTGGTTAAGTATACATACATACACATTTGGGCTGATATTTTCGACAGTCATTTTTTCATATATACACCGTCGGATTATCATATAGGCAATAATGGTATCCCAAATTTCCAGGAACCAGTTTTGTAAATGCAAATAATCTTCAGAAACTTATTCTGCTTGTTTTCTTTTCAATCTGAGAATGGAAACAAATCAATTTTAGTATCAAACAGAATGAAACCATTTCGATAATTTACTAGAAAAACATTTATTTATTAAGATATTTCCAGATTGAAATTCTCTTATCATATTTCTCTTCAGAAGTATGACGCTCTTTGACTCTAGGATCATCACCTGTGTTATGGTTTCTTAGCTACATTCAAACTGAATCGCTGCAGTTCCAAAGGTCCAATAGAAGACCTATTAAATTCATAACTAGAAGATTTGCCACATTCTTAATTTGAAGACGATTTCTTTTGTCAGAATAAATTATGTTCTTCACAGAAATCCCTCTTTCAGCCTCTGCAGAACTTGCAGTAATGTTATTAATTATAATTTTAGCTATTATATATCTCGGCTATTAATATATAAGATTATTTTCGGATAATCCAAAAACCGGTTCGCGAAACCTTTATAATTTTAAGAATCGGTTCGCCCGAACCGGTATGAACCGGTAGGATGCCACCACTGTTTGTAAGATATTTAATATAGTCCATCATCGCTGATCCGACCCTGAACTACCCGACGCCTTGAGCGAATTTTGGGCCTTAAATTCAATTCAGACCTCAAGTGGAACTCGTACATACGATCCATCGCTAAAGAGCCAGGTTAAGTAGTACGGCTCCAGGACGTACCTGACTCCTCCTGTTATCCACTATCGAAGAGCCAAATCAAGTCGAAAATGGAGTATTGCTGTCATATTTCATCACTGTCTATCACTGAATTACCACAAGTCTCGATGAACAGATGTCCCTACGAGGAGGCCCCGTGCCTTGACAGAATTTTGCGACTCAAATTCACACCCGACCCCAAGTGGAACCCTTATATACGATCCATTGCTAATGATGTAGGTAAAATGACAAAGAAGTGAAGAAAAACGGAAGTGGAATAGCATTAACTGAAAGCCGAATATTTCCTTACAAGGAAACAGTTAATATTACCATTTCCGTTATAAAAGTCTTTAATTATTCAAGGCGTCCGTTTGATACTGTTAATATCCTAGTTGTTTTGATTAGGATTCTAAAATGTGTAAATTTATTTTAAATTAAAATAAAATATTTATTTTTGATCATAATGCAAATGTTTACGCTCAGTTAATAGCATCAGAAATGTCTTGGCAATCGTTTCGGACAAATAGATACTTTTAGTAACTATTCATTGATTTTATTGTTTTCATCATTCCGCCCAAAGCCACTATAAAGCACACCAATCAAAACTTGCCTTTTGTTTTCAAATTAACCTGCCCCACCCACGCAATAAAAATTTACAATTTTAAAAATATTTTCTTTGTTCAATTTGTTTGTTTCTTTTCCAAGAATAAATTTCATAAAATCAAATTTCTTCCTTTCGGCTAAATTGTCTTTGTTTTTCTCCAAACATACGCGGCTTCTAAAAATAATCCCTCTTCTTCTTCTTCTTCTCTTCTATCACCTTATCCCTCACCTTTCTTCTTCTTCTTCTTCTTCTTCTTCTTCTTCTTCTTCTTCTTCTTCTTCTTCTTCTATGACCTTATCCCTCATTTCTCTTCTTCTTCTTCTTCTTCTTCTTCTTCTTCTCCCTCATTTCTCTTCTTCTTCTTCTTTTTCTTCTTCTATCACCTTATCCCTCACCTTTCTTCTTCTTCTTCTTCTTCTATGACCTTATTCCTCATTTCTTTTTTCTTCTATCACCTTATCCCTCATTTCTCTTCTTCTTCTTCTTCTTCTTCTTCTATCACCTTATCCCTCTTCCTTCCTTCTTCTTTTTCATCTTCTATGACCTTATTCCTCATTTCTCTTCTTCTTCTTCTTTTTCTTCTATCACCTTATCCCTCGTTTCTCTTCTTCTTCTTCTTCTTTTTCTTCTATCACCTTATCCCTCATTTCTCTTCTTCTTCTTTTTCTTTTTCTTCTATCACCTTATCCCTCATTTCTCTTCTTCTTCTTTTTCTTCTTCTATCACCTTATCCCTCACATTTCTTCTTCTTCTTCTTCTTCTATGACCTTATTCCTCATTTCTTTTTCTTCTATCACCTTATCCCTCATTTCTCTTCTTCTTCTTCTTCTTCTTCTTCTATCACCTTATCCCTCACCTTCCTTCTTCTTTTTCATCTTCTATGACCTTATTCCTCATTTCTCTTCTTCTTCTTCTTTTCTTCTATCACCTTATCCCTCGTTTCTCTTCTTCTTCTTCTTCTTTTCTTCTATCACCTTATCCTCATTTCTCTTCTTCTTCTTTTCTTTTCTTCATCACCTTATCCCTCATTTCTCTTCTTCTTCTTCTTCTTCTTCTATCACCTTATCCCTCACCTTCCTTCTTCTTTTTCATCTTCTATGACCTTATTCCTCATTTCTCTTCTTCTTCTTCTTTTTCTTCTATCACCTTATCCCTCGTTTCTCTTCTTCTTCTTCTTCTTTTTCTTCTATCACCTTATCCCTCGTTTCTCTTCTTCTTCTTCTTCTTTTTCTTCTATCACCTTATCCCTCATTTCTCTTCTTCTTCTTTTTCTTTTTCTTCTATCACCTTATCCCTCATTTCTCTTCTTCTTCTTCTTCTTCTTCTTCTATCACCTTATCCCTCACCTTCCTTCTTCTTTTTCATCTTCTATGACCTTATTCCTCATTTCTCTTCTTCTTCTTCTTTTCTTCTATCACCTTATCCTCGTTTCTCTTCTTCTTCTTCTTCTTTTCTTCTATCACCTTATCCCTCGTTTCTCTTCTTCTTCTTCTTCTTTTTCTTCTATCACCTTATCCCTCATTTCTCTTCTTCTTCTTTTTCTTCTTCTATCACCTTATCCCTCACATTTCTTCTTCTTCTTCTTCTATGACCTTATCACTCACCTTTCTTCTTCTTCTTCTTCTATGACCTTATCACTCACCTTTCTTCTTCTTCTTCTTCTTCTTTTTCTTCTTCTTCTTCTTCTTCTTCTTCTTCTTCTTCTATCACCTTTATCCCTCATTCCTATTCTTCTTCTTCGTTCACCTCATCCCACATCCTTCTTCTTCTTCGTGATTTCTTCCTCGCGTCTTCTTTTACGTCTTCTTTTTCTTCTGCTTCTTTACTTCCAATTCTATTTTTAATCTTCCATCGCCTCCTCCTCCTCTTTCCTTTAGTTTCTCTTTTTCTTTTACTTCCTTTTCATCATCATCATTATCATCATCCTGATCATCATCATCATCATCATCATCATCATCATCTTCTCCTTCAGAAACTTATGTCATCATAAAAATAACAAAATAACGTCTTTAAGAGAAAGAAAATTCTCCACAGTATTCTCTTCTTCTTCTTCTTCTTCTTCTTCTTCTTCTTGTGGGATCTAACTTCAAGACGGAGGCGATCATGTCTCTTCACTACTTCCTATTTTTTACATTAATAAGCTCTTTTTCATAGCCCCTCATTTTTTCATCTGGTTGTTTGATTTTCCCTCTGTTTCCCTCTCGACTTATTGCCTTTGATATGTACTGTGAGTGACAAATTCTCCAAGCTTTGTTTCCTCGTTATGTGTTCTCGAAATTTCTTTTCTTCTTTCCGTTTTCTTTAAATCTTTGTCATTACGTACATTCTCATTCTCAGTATCTTTCTGTAGAGCTACAAGCGGGTTGGTCCAAGTGTCGTCTTTCTCTTTAAGGAAATTGTTGATTGGTTGATTGATTCGGTTTTTTAAGGTCTGTCAAACTTTGCTGGTTATTTAAAGCCACACATATTTTCGGATTGTGTTTTTTTAGATAATGATTTAGTGATATACGTTTTACTAATTAACCCCTAGACAGAGGGAGAAGACGTGGATTCATGCCTAATCAGAATTTAGTAAACAAACAAGATATAATAATGTGGATATAAAGTGGGGGATCAATTCTCTATTACAATCAATATATAAACTGATCCTTCACTTTGTGGTCATGTTAGTTTTTATACATTTTATCCAGATACTAAACTGGGTAAGACGATAAACTACGTCCAACAGCAAGGACTCTAACCAGGAGGTCTTGAGGTGCTTGGAACCACCTCTTAATTGCGGTTGTTCCTATGTCCACCCGGAGTATCAGCACCTGTTAGGATCCCAGCCATTAAACTGGGGTCAAAACACTATGAAAGTGTAAAAATAGGTTTTAATACCAGAAATAATTGCTGGTATTTTTGGAAAGAAAAAGATTATCAGCTTTATATATTTCGAAAAAATATTAGCAGCAATAGTTTTTTGAAGAAAAAAATATTACTAGCAATATATTTTTTGGGGAAAAATATTACCAGCAATAAAAAAATTTGTCGGCATTAAATAACCCATTGAGGTGTTGATATGCCGTAATACAAAATAAACCAAATCAGACTTTCGAGAAAAACCCTCTTTACAAAAATATGTCAATGAAACCTAATCTAGAAACTGATTTCTTACAAAGAATACATATTCTATTCATACGAACCTATCCTAAAAATCTTGTCAGCATTAAATAACCTATTGAGGTGTTGAGATGTCGTAAAACAAAATAAACCAAATCAGACTCTCTACAAAAACTCTCTTTACAAAAATACGTCAATGAAACCTGATCTACAAACTGATTTCTTACAAAGAATACATATTCTATTCATACGAACCTATCCTAAAAATCTTGTCAGCATTAAATAACCCATTGAGGTGTTGAGATGTCGTAAAACAAAATAAACCAAATCAGAGTGTCGACAAAAACTCTCTTTACAAAAATATGTCAATGAAACCCGATCTACAAACTGATTTCTTACAAAGAATACATATTCTATTCATACGAACCTACCCTAAAAATCTTGTCGGCATTAAATAACCCATTTATGTGTTGATATGTCGTAAAACAAAATAAACCAAACCAAACCTGAGACTAAATAAATCTTTAAGACATATATTTCATCAACCCTTTGCACGTTATTTAAAGCCAGAAAATAATTTTAGGTTATAAGATTTGTTTTTTTTCGGTGGGGGAATGTTTGTGATAAAAGTCTTACTAATTAACCCATAGGTGGTGGGGAGAAAATGTAGATTCATACAACGAACAATTTCGAGCTATTACAACAAACACACCATAGCATACTCAAACTTACAGAACCTGGTATTCCCAAATGATCAACCAAGCATATTATGTAATATTCCCCTAAGATCACCTAAGTTAAGCAACGTCGACGTTGCTTAACTTAGGTGATCTTAGGGGAATATTACATAATATGCTACCTCTTTTTTCGTTGTTGGTAATTCTAATTTCCTCTTTCATAAGAGCTTGCTTAAATTTTAGAAGGCATCTTTCGTTATCTCAATCTGTCTTCGGATTTCGGTGTCATATTTTTTAGCTGATTGCAAGATATTTAAATTTTCGTGCTTCTGAACCAATTTATCACACATCCGATTTCTTGCTAGCACATATATAAGATCTAAGAGCCACACAAAGTAGAGTAATATGAAAAACTTATCAGCCTAAGAAATCCATTATTTGCTGACAATTACTTTCTTTATATTTTGGCCACTTGGACGTGGTGTAATGGTTAACGAGCCTGCCTTGCTAGATCAATAAGCATTGGTTAATGGGTTCGAACCTCACTTTCGGCCTTGCAGCACATTGAAGCTACGCTTACTAAATCGCTATTTTTCGGGTGCGAAAATAAATTTAGCATATATAGACTTCGAAATGTTCCAACGAGAGATGTGCTTATATTAATTAGTTAAATAAATATTGCTTTATTATGATTGCATTCCATATCCTAATTATCAAAGCACACTTAAAATTTTTTCCAAAAATCACTTGAAAATGGAACAGAATAATGGATTTCAAATTTAATTTAATAATTAAATTTAAAATTTTACTTTATGTTTTGAAACATGGTAAATCCGGTGTAGTGATGGAACCATATTTTTAAAATAGAAAATAATTATATTATGCTCTACTGTTTTGTATTGAGCACTGTTTTTTTTTTTAAATAAAAATAATTACTAAAAACACCGGATTGTAAAGCTAACTGTTCTTCCCTTTATATATATATATATATTTTTTTTTTTTATTAATAACATTTAACGGCCTGAACGCCCGAGAAATTGTTAGAGAAAATATTTGTTCTCCGACAGGAATCGAACCTGTATCCTATACGGGACCGTCATATAGCCTGACGTACTTTTACGGAATTCGTCACAGAGGATCGTTTTGATTATGGAAAAAAAAATAGAATTTATAAATATAAACATGTCTTATAATAATTGTCGGACGTTGTCGATTAATATTGTGGGATGTCATTTGTTTACATTAGGATACGCTTTGAGCAGATTTGAATGTACGTGAGGAGATCATGGAAAATTGTAGTTTAAAAACAGGTGAAATCGGTAAATATATGTCAGGCTATATGACGGTTCTGTATAGGTTAACATAAAAAATGTTTTAAAATAATTGTCGGACTTTGCTCATTTCATAATATATATATATATATATATATATATATATATATATATATATATATATATATATATATATATATATTAAATTAAGAAGAAAGAAGACTAAGCTTTCCTGCTTTGTGCAGAACCAACCACACTTTTGAAGGGCCAATTAAAAGACATGGTGCATGGTGTAGTCCTATATACAGGAGTAGCGAGCCTATCTATCTATCTATCTATCTATATATATATATATATATATATATATATATATATATATACACACACATACATATATATATATATATATAAACACACGCATACATACATATATATATATATATATATATATATATATATATATATATATATATATACATACATACATACATATATATATAAGAAATGGACAAAAGTCCGACAATTTATTTATTAAAGACATTTTTATGTTTAACGTTCTTTTTTATAGATACAAGTATTTAAGTAAATGCTCTGTTTATAATAAACAGTATTAAATAACATTTACCGGCCTGAATGTCCGAGAAATTTTCATAGAAAATATTCGTCCTTTGACAGGATTCGAACCTGCATCCTTAATGTCTTTAATAAATAAATTGTCGGACTTTGTCCATTTCTTAATATATGACGTCATTTGTTTACATTTGATACGCCATGATTAGTTATGAATGGACGAGATTCATGGAATTTTGGAGTTTATAAGCAGTAAATTCAGCCTCGCCAAGCGAACTATCCTTTGTGGCCGAGCGGTCAAGGCACGTCAGCGGTTCCGTATAGGATGCAGGCTCGAATCCTGTCAAAGGACGAATATTTTCTATGAAAATTTCTCGGACATTCAGGCTGGTAAATTTTATTTAATACTCTTTATTATAAACAGAGCATTTACTTAAATACTTGTATCTATAAAAAAGAGCGTTATATATATATGGTAAGTACAGACGATCTTTAAAAATCCATTCCTTCGGTTATAATTTATTTCATGAATATACAAATATTTTATTTATTTGCATGTTCATGAAAAAAATTATAACCGATTTGTTTTGTAAGGATTTTCTTGGCATATTATTATTATTATTATTACGATATTGCTCTGTTACTTACATTAAGCTCTCTTTGGTTTAAAGTCCTCCTTGGAATCATCCCTACTAATTCTCAATTGACATATACATATATATATATATATATATATATATATATATATGGAAACAGGGAACAAATGTTGGGTTCCTGCGCACATGCACCAAATTCTTTGTCGCAGTGCTGCATATTCTCTAAAATCCAAACAATTTCTTCATAGTCCATCTCCCCTCTTTCTCTGCCTGTGTCTATCTGTCTGTCTCTCTATCTCTCTCTCTCTGCCTCTGTGTTACTGCCCATTCTTTCGCTCTCTTTCTCTCTCTCACTCACTCTCTCTCTCTCACCCTCTCTCTCCCTCTCTCTCTCTCTTTGCTCTTACCTTAAATTCTTCACGTTGGTCCTGGGCATAAACAAAGAAATTCCCGGCCAATGTGAACGCTACCGCACCCATATCTTACCCCCCACCACACACACACCCAGCCCCCGTTCTTGCAGAGAATGATTGCGTTCCGACAAAATCGGCCGTAGTGGAAAGTCAAAGAGAACTGGTCTTTGATCTGGGCGTCTGTGGAAAGCAGTTGGCGTCATTCGCCATAAATCTCAAAGAGAAATAAGACCCCGCCTTTAAACGAACAAACGAAAAAAAAAAAAAAAAAAGAAGAAAAATTGGTCGCAACTCGAAGAAGAGATAAGTTCTTTCAAAGCCTCCATCATGCAATATAACACGGACGAATCACACATCGTGGGGATTGAACGACTTTCGGAGATTAAATATTTCACATCCTATTATTTCCTGCCATTACCTCATATAAATAATGGACCGTTCCGTTTTGACAGCCGAGAATGACGAAAGAAAAACACGTATAACAGATACCGTAATCCCCTATATGTAATACGCCTTCATCCATAATACGCACTCCTAAAATTGTGTAGAAAGTGTGGGGAAAATTCTTTTACTCACGCATAATACGCACCCCTTCTTTCGCATTCAAACCCTATAAATTGTACCTCTCCAATTTCATTACGACCAGCGTTTCCTACTCTTATTAAAAAATAGTTTTAAACATAAAATAATATTATTCTAATTTAGTTTTATAATAATTCTTATTTTATTTTACATTTGTAAGTATTGTTAGGTACATATGATTGTGTTTGACATCCTTATGAGGTCACAATCGCCGAATGTTAGTGTCAAATTGTCGTATGTTTGTGGTGAGTAGACATTTCGCAACTGAAATCGAACTATTTAACGACAATTTTTTAAAGATTTTTTTGTAGTTCTGCATAATCCCCCCCCCCATTTTTGATTTTTTATTTTTTTTAGAAACATTGCGTACTATACATAGGGAATTGCGGAAAAACTTTCCCTCTTATTCGGTCCTTAAGGCTCTAGATGTCATGTAGCTTTTCAGTCACGTTCATTTTCCTCACCCCTCAAAATTCAGGTGTTTTCGCTGAGTAAAAAATTCTGAAAACGTTTGCCGTAATTCCCCGTGTATAATACACCTTTATCCATAATACGCACCCCTAAAATTGTGATGAAAGTGCGGAAAATGTTACTACTCACTCATAATACGCACCCCTATTTTCGTAATCAAACCCTATAAATTGTACCTCTTCAATATCATTACGGCTAGCGTGTCCTACTCTTATTTTTAAAAAAATGTTTTAAATATAGAATAATATTATTCTAATTTAGTTTTATGATAATTCTTATATTATTTTACGACAATTTTTTTAAAACATTTTTTTAGCTGTGCATAATACGCACCCCTGCTTTTGCTTATTATATTTTAGAAAAAATGCGTATTAAACATGAGGAATTACGGTACTGTTTTATTTTAGTAAAAAAATAAAATAAAAATAAAAATATAAAAATAAAGCGTATATACAGGTTAAGATTCTTTTATCCAAAACTCTTGAAACCGGAAAGTTCTTTGGCTTTTAGATTTTTTTTGGATATTGGAATACAGACTATTTAATTTGTTTATAAAGCATCTATAAAATGGGTTAGGAATGGAACCCAAGCATAAACATAATATCCATTTACATTTCATAGCACAACTTATATATATACTCTGAAAGTAGTTTTATATAAAAAACATATATCCTGAAAGTAGTTTTATATAAAATTTAATAAATTTTGTGTGCATACAAATAGAGATATTGACGCTAGTTTTATAATACACAGGAGGATTTTTAAACGCTGAAGTTAAGATTTGATAGTAAGATAATTACAATGATTTAATACAGAATCCTTTATCCGAAAATCCTTGGGACCGGAAGTGATTCGGTTTTCAGATTTTTTGGATGTTGGAATACAGGCTATTTAATTTGTATAATAACACCTTTAAAATGGGGCATCTTGCGAATGGAACCCAAGCATAAACAGGATATCCCTTTACATTTCACAGCTTATACTTATACACTGAAGGTAGTTTTGTATAAATAACATATATCCTAAAAACGGTGATTAAAGGGTCACTAACATTTTTATTTTTAAGTGCAGATAAAGAGTCTGTGAAAATTATGAAATTATTGTGGGGTGTTGATATTATGTCAAGTGCTAAATTAATAGCAATTATTTCAGCACTGTATATTGAAGCTATCTGTCAATATTTCGCAAGGACACATGGCACAGTGGATAAAGGCCTTGGTTAGATCCAGTGACAGGACACAACGAGTGTGAGTTCAATACCCGGTTAAGGCAGTGGAGAACTTTCAGAAAGGAATTAACAAGAGATAACTGATAACTGACATCCATTAAAACATTGCACGTAGAACTAGAATAGACTACCCCAGTGAGCGAAATAAAGGGTTCAGTTCGACATTCCAACCACCTGAAGAAGGCTGGAGCGTACAAAGGCCGAAACGCTGTAATAAATATGGCAAAAAAGATGAGGACAATAGTCAGAATAATGTATATATATATATATATATATTGTAGTTATGTTTGTAATTCATTTTCGTTGCTTATTCCGTTTTAGTATGGCAGCAAATCCTACTCCATTTTTGCTTTTTGCTCCATCAGTATATATATATATATATATATATATATATATATATATATATATATAAAGATGGTGAGTGGTTATTTTTAATATTCAGTATTTCAATCTGGTGTAACAAAGAAATGAGTAAGAAGACACTAGCCACACGTTTCGTTCGTGGGAAAGGGGTTGCAAGTTAAATAACTGGGAAGTGTTTTAAGAAATTACGGAAGATCTGACACCAAAATCCGAAGGTATGCTGAAATAGCGAAAATGCCTTATAAAAATTTAACATATATTAAGAAACAAGAAAATTTCATTACAATCAAAGAAAAGAGTGCAGGACAGCTATGTAATAATATCAATCCTCATATATGGAAGTAAATGCTTGTTGATTTCCTCCCAGATGAGGAGGAAACTTGAGAAAACAGAAATGTGGTTCTACAGAAGGATGCTGAGAATATCACGGTCTGAAGATGTGATCAATAAGGAAGTTTTCAGGTAAATTGGAGTGGAATTTTGTGGCAATATAAACTTGTGTTTTTTTCATTTCTTTTAATATTTTTCACCCAATATAAGGCTTAAGAACAACTCGATGTAGAGGTCTACTAAGTGAAGAAGAAGAAGAAGAAGAAGAAGAAGAAGAAGAAGAAGAAGAAAGGGAAGAGGAAGGAGAAGAATGAACGAGAATAGTCTGGAAAGGGAAGCAGAAAAGTATTAGCAGAAAGAAGAAGAAGAAGAAGAAGAAGAAGAAGAAGAAGAAGAAGAAGAAGAAGAAGAAGGAGTGTAGCCAGGAAACGGAAGGAAAAACAGCTATTAAAAGAAAGAGAAAAAAAGAACCGTAGAAAATACGAGATTAGGCGGGAAATGGAAGTATAAAGAAATATAGAAGAGATAGGACGGAAGAAGAAGAAGAAGAAGAAGAAGAAGAAGAAGAGCCAGGAAAGGAAAGCAGAAAGGAATATTAGTAGAAAAAGGAAAGAAGAAGAAGACAAAGAAGAAAAATAAAACTGAAGAAGAAAAGAGAATGAAGAAAAAAGAACAAGAGTAGAAAATGAACGGAAGCAGAATGTAATATTAGCAGAAAGAGGAAAGAAAAGAGGACGAGGAAGACGAAGAAGAAGAAAGAATGAGAGTAGACCATAAAGGGAAGCGGAATGAAAATATTAGCAGGAAGAGGACAAAAAAGAGAAGAAGAAGAAGAAGAAGAAGAAAAGAAATAAAAGAAATAGATTGGAAGAGAAGAAAAAGAAGAAAAAGTAGAGGAAGAAGAAAGAATGAGAGTAGACGGGAAACGGAAGAAGAGAAGAAAAAGAAATAGAAGAAGAAGCAGTAGAAGAAGAAGAAGAAGAAAGAATGATGGTAGACGATAAAGGGAAGCAGAATGAAAATATTAGCGGGAAGAGGACAAAAAAGAAGAAGAAGAAGAAATAAAAGAAGAAAAAGAAATAGAAGGTGAAGAAGAAATTAAAGAAAGAAAGAAAGAAAGAAAGAAAGAAAGAAAGAAAGAAAGAAAGAACGAAAGTAGACGAGAAAGTGAAGCAGGAAGAAATGTTAGCAGAAAGAGGAAAGAAAAAAAAGGAAGACGCAGAAGAAGAAAACGACGTCGACGACTTAAAATTTCAAAACGTCCAAGCATCTAAAATGCCATCTTTGTTCTTTCAGGCTTGATATTGACTTTTCCAAATGTTTACTGTTTGTTCTTCTTTAGTTGGTGGCACTAATAATCGATTTTGAAATAATGATCTTGCTATCGTTGTATCTAAATTAATTTCATCATAAATATAGCGACCAGGAACATAAAAAAACGAGAATGTGGACCTAAATTCATTTTGTGTCAGATTCGAAAGATACGAAAAATAAATTCCCCTGTGAGGATCGATGTTTTTATCACAGTTCTCTAAAATTAGTATCCTTAAAAGGAACATTGAAATTTCCAGTTGCGAACAAAATGTATAAATTGATCAGGAAAAAAAATCGATAATAATTATTATTGTTGCTACTTAATGTATTTATATATTTTCTTTTTAAATATTTCACTCCAAGCAAGGCAATTAAGCCACTAAGACGCAAAGAAGTTACTGAAGGTTAGACAGTTCTGAGAAAAAAAGGAAAATTATATGAAGGGGAAAGGACAATAAAAGAACAGGGATTTAAAAATGGCAGAAGATAACGGCTCAATTTAAATTAATGATGAAGCTTAACTCGGAAGCAAGAAGCCAGGAGAGAGCTCGATAAGCGTGTAGGGCGATGGAATAAACTGCTAGTGGAGCGGCCATGTTCACACTGTAACATCAGCGCGAAAACTGGTGCGAGCATGCTCAACCTTCGATCATGTGACCACAACGGTAATAACTATAAGCTCGCAGGAGCAGACGACAGTATGACAAAATTAAAGTTATGTTATGGCGAAAATTTGGATAATTTTTGACTAACCCAGGCAAAAGACTATATGTTTGAGTTCACTGAGCCGTTATAGTCAGGTCAAAGAATGGATCGGCTGCAAGTTCTGGTCCTCTTGATCTTTTGCAGCTCTATGTCGGACTAACCGAAGTTTAGAATATGGAAAACATATTCTATTAAAGAGAGAGGACAATAAAAGAACAAAGAATTGAGAAAACAGAAGATAACGATTTACGTTGCATTTAAATTTTTGAAGATCAAAGTTTTGAGCGGAAGAGAGTTCCACATGCGAGAAGTTCGATAGAAGAAACTGTTAGCATAGAACTTACGGTTAAATCTATTCAACTGTACAATAATGGGACCATACCGCCAATCTAGCACTGAGCTTAAATTCATAAAATCTTGGCATCATTGCGAGTACTTCATCAGGAGAGTCAGCATGAAAATATTTATTTATATTAGATGTCTAGAAGTTTTTACGAAAACTATTGCCTTGCCGGTGGGGGGGGCGTTAGAATTTGAAGACACCACACAATGCCGGATACCATGATACCGAACCAAAGCGAAAAACCTCCTGAAAGAACCGCTGCTTTGTGGAGTCGACTCCCAAGAGGATGCTTCCCCGATCACTACAATATGAACGTCTTCAAGTGTAGGATTTACCGTTATCTTCCCCACATATCCGCATAAACTGTTCCACTCACTCTGTAACCCTCTACCTTGAGTGGCTCTTGTGCCTTGCGCAGAGTGGACATCATTTTAAACAATAAATATCTACATTTATGATTCTGTTGTAAACCGAACTGTAAACCGGACATGTCTTCCTTTTGATTCTAGTATAAAGTGGACATATGTCTACCTTTTTGACTCGTGTAAAAATGACCAATGTCTACTTTCTTGACACTAGTGTAAGCCGTTTTTTTTGTTTTGTTTTTTACCTTAGAATGAAAGTGGACTATGTTTAAATTGTTGACTCTATTTTAAATCGAACCTTTGTCTAGCTTTTTGTCTTTCATTTAAACACAACAGATGTCTAACTTATGGACTCCAGTGTAAACCAAACCTTGATGACTCTCGTCTAAATAAAACCTATGTCTCCCTTTTTGTCCCCAATTTAAACCGGACCTCTGAGGCTTGTCTAAACAGGACCTATATCTACTTTTTTGACTTTAATGAGAACCGGATTAATGTCTACCGTTTTTATTCTAGTGTAAACAAAACTTATCTATCTTTTCAATCCTAGTTTAAAGAAAACGTGTGTATACCATTTTATTCTGAACTAAATAAAACCTAATTCTAGCTTTTTACGTCCAGCATAAACCGGATCTTTGTCTATCTTTTTGACGCTAGTCTAAAACAGACATCTGACTACCTTTTTGACGCTAGTCTAAAATGGACCTCTGTGTACTTTTTTGAAGCTAGCCTAAAACGGACCTCTGATTACCTTTTTGACGCTAGTCTAAAACGGACCTATGTCCATCTTTTTGTAGCTAATCTAAAACAAATCTCTGTCTACCTCTTTTAGCGTCAAAAAGATAGACAAAGATCCGTTTTAGACTAGCACGTCTAAAACGGATCTTTGTCTATCTTTTTGACGCTAGTCTAAAACAGACCTCTGACTATCTTTTTGGCGCTAGTCTAAAACGGACCTCCGTGTACTTTTTTGAAGCTAGCCTAAAACGGACCTCTGATTACGTTTTTGACGCTAGTTATAAAACGGACCTCTGTATACCTTTTTGACGCTAGTCTAAAACGAACCTCGGTCTACCCTTTGGACGCTAATCTAAAACGGACTTATCTCTACCTTGTTGATGCTAGTCTAAACCTGGCCTCTGTATACTGTTTTTCATTTAATGCTAACCAAACTAATGTGTACCATTTTTATTCTAATGTACAGACAACTTTTGTATATCTTTTTAACCCTACTTAAAAAATACCCATGACTATCTTTTTCGTTATACTCCAAACAAAACTTATATCTAACTTTTAGACTCTAACGTAAACATGATATATATATATATATATATATATATATATATATATATATATAGATAGATAGATAGATAATATTAGTGGTAAATATACACATACATATGCAAAATATATAAATATATATACATAGGTGCATACACATACATGTATATTTGTTGAATAAAAAATTCCAAGAGGATAGAATCCAGGTAGAACTCAATGTCCAGGACAGAGTAAGAATATAATAAAAAGGCTTAAACACAAATATTCCATGGTTATAATTTATTCCACTCATAATTTACTTACACTCTCTCTAAATTCTAATTTCCGGAGTTGTTTTTTCTGTTTTCTTTTTGAATTTGTAGGTCTGATAAATTGGATCGTATTTACGATTCCAGTGGAATAAATTATGACCATGGAATATTAGTGTTTAAGCCTTTTTACTATATATATATATATATATATATATATATATATATATATCTTTATCTTTATGACTATATATTAAGCCAAACCAATGTATACTTTTTAACGTAGATTAAACGGGCCTTGCGTTTAAATATCTATCGTTTCTACAGTAGTCTAAACTGAAACTATAAATTGCTTTTACACAATTTATTATTTAGATTAATTTTCGACCTGAAAAACGTATCGAGGGCTGATATGTTGGTACTGAGCTGATTGCAGACTCTAAAAAAACGGAATTATTGATTACACAAAAAGAAAAGTAAGGAAGAATTAAGGTCTATTAACCTTAAGAGGCAAAATGCCAGAAAAAGCCAACCTAACGCTTGATCTAGGAACTGTGGTCGTTAAAATCAAACATTGGCGTTTCTTGCGAAGATGTTGTTTGAGTGGAACTTCGTTTTTGCCAATGTAATACTGAATTGAATAAGGATTGTTCGTCCCAGCCTACGTGGGATGATGGGTGCTAATAATGAAGGTAGCTCGTCTAAACTATAGAAATTATCTCGCTTGCTGACTATTGGGGCATGTGGAGGACTCCTTACTTTGCTCAATTTAGCAGTAACGGAAGTAATCCCCAGGGAACAACCGGAAGTCCCAGAACTCATAAAAACACTGACCGAGCCCCATTCGGCCTTTTTTGCACTTTCCCTTTTAAGCGGACGCGACTTCCAAAACCTTCTCTTTTTCCACGTTTACTTTTCAGAGGTCGCTACCTTCAAGGCCAGCTCCTTTTCCATTAGCTGTGTGCGAAAGGTCATCTCGACTTTTGGAGTTTTACCCATGGTCTGTAGTATCGTTTTCATAGACATTTACTGAAAATCTGGGAAATCAGGCAAATCGTTAATATAAAGCTGGAAAATGATGGGGTCGAGTAGAGATCCTTGTGGGGGTGATGCATTGATCTTGTTGTGAAGTAGCTGAACACCCCCAAGATGGACTGGTCTAATACTATTTAACCAGCACTCTCTCTTAATGAAGAATTAACTAGTAATCGTTACTCTGCTTATATATATATATATATATATATATATATATATATATATATATATATATATATATATATATATATATATATATAACGTAAGGATAGACAGAGGAAAACAAACTGTGTAAGATAAATAGATAGATACATACATACATGGATTTATTTATTTATGTAGATAGGGAGATAGATTTATTTATTTATTAATTTAGATAGATAGATAGATAGATAGATAGATAGATAGATAGATAGATAGTAATGTTAATATCACCGGTTTCCTTACAATGAAAAATAGATTGATAGATAGATTTATTTATTTATTTGTTTACATAGATAGATAGATTCATTTATTGACATAAATATATATATATATATATATATATATATATATATATATATATATATATATAGATAGATAAATTTATTTATTTAGATATATAGATAGATAGATAGATAGATAGATAGAATCATTTTCGGCTATATATAGAGTAATATTAATATAAGTGGTTTCCTTATGAGAAAAATCGATAGATAGCTAGATAGGTAGATAGATAGATAGATAGATCAAGCTATTTATTTATTTAGACAGATAGATTCATAGAAGCAACGGTAATATTATCCGTTTCTTTATAAGGAAACATAAACAGATAGAGTGATAGAGGTAGAGAGAGAGAGAGAGATAGAGAGAGAGAGAGAGAAGAGAAATAGATAGGAAAAAGGTTTGCTGCTGTTTATCTTCGTGTTGCTGAGACAGGACCAGAGGCTTCTTTGTAGTGTGGAATCGTGAATTCCACCCTTTTGCGTGTGTGTGCGTGCGCGCGCGGATTGCACTCCTTCCTCTCATTTTCAGCTAGACATAGTAGTAAACGCCGACGTGAGGAAGGCTGGCTAGCTAGCTACTCCTGATATCATCTAAAATCAGAATTTGAATTTTTTCCCGCGCCTGTCGTGACGTCACAGACGGACAGCGTTTTCAAGTTAGTCGCCGCCCGATTTTCAAACTAAATGGTTGACTCATTTATTCCGTGCCCCTAACACATACGCGGGCCGGAATATCTTAAATAACCAAAACTTCAACATGTCGACCTCACACTTTTCCAAGACTCATCCTCGTCTTGATGCAAACAGCATGTTGAACCTTTCTCCGTTTTCAGCTAGAAAATGTAGAGTTCTACGACACCGTCGTCAATATATTTTTTCCAAGACCAACTTCTCGTCTTGATGCGAACAACTTTCGAACTTTCCTCTATTCACTACCAGAGTTCTACAACACGGTCGCCCTCACACCTATCCAAGACTAATTTCCTCGTCTTGATGTGAACAACTCTGAATTTTTCTTCACTGAAGAAGATTGATGAACTTTTCATACACCTCTTTTGTATTTTAACATTATGAACCAGTACCTTAAAGATAGCATTACACACACATTATTAAACCTCGCAGTGAGTATTTTTCCTTGTTGTGTATGCTTACACCTTTTGTACAAGAAGACTACATTCCAGAACTTTCATTCTGAAGAAACTTTTCCCGCCTTAGCCATCTTGGTTTTTTCGTTTTGGCGCGGAACTTTAAAATTCTATTAATTACTACATATTACTAACTGCCTACAAGCTAAAAACAGACCTTACCTTTTCTGATCGTCTCTACTGTTGAGACAAGATTATTTGTTATTAAAATAAAATGTCATATCTGTTTTCCACCAGACTCATTTTGTCGTTTAATCCTGATTATCTATACTTGTATTATTTTTATGCACTTGTTGAATAACCTTTTCCTCACTAAAGATCACTTACTCAATATTCTTACTTTGTTTGTGGATTCAGTAGTCATAAGTAGGGTCTGGCACAAGGCCACTTTTTAATAGACCAGCACTGCATGCTACCGGGTCTGCAACAGTAGTTTAATGTTACAGCCCGCAATGTCAAATGACGGTTTCTGAAAAGGAATACAGGTTCGATCCTTAGCAGAGTACACATCTTTTCTACGAATTTTCTCTAACATTTAGGCCTGTAAATGTAATTAATTCTGAATAATTAAAAACAGAGCATTTACTTATACCTTGTATACACACACACAGATAGAAATTTCGTGATAGATAGATAGATAGATAGATAGATAGATAGATAGATAGATAGATAGATAGATAGATAATGAATATATCTGACAGATAGATAGATAGATAGATAGATAGATAGATAGATTTGAAAAGAGTGATTGACAGAAAGAAAAAAACGAAAGAAAGAAAGATAGAAGGAATGTAAAACATAAAAAAAAACATTCTTAAAAAACATCAGGACGGAATTTCAAAAAAAAAACATAAATAGAAACAAAAAAAAACCAACAAACATACACAGTATATATATATATATATATATATATATATATATATATATATATATATATATATATATATATGCGTGTGAGTTGGATGATAAACTGATGGAATGGGAACTATAAGATAAATATCCCAAAATTTAAATTACAGATCACTGACGAGAACTTAGACACACACACACACACATACAGATAGATAGATAGATATGAAATCACAAAGATAGATAGAGAGATACATGCATACATGCATACATAGATATCATATAGCCTGACGTGCTTTTACCGATTTCGCCACAGAGGAGCGTTTCGATTAGCACGTAAAATGGTAAAAGCACGTCAGGCTAAATGACGGTTCCGTATAGGATTCAGGTTCGATTCCTGTCGGAGGACGAATATTTTCTATGAAAATTTCTCGGACATTCAGGCCGGTAAATTTTGTTAATACTGTTTATTATAAACAGAGCATTTACTTAAATATTTGTATCTATAAAAAGAATGTATAAACATAAAAATGTCTTAATATATAGATAGATAGATAATTTCTCAGTGTATATATATATATATGATAATTTCTCAGTGTATATATATATATGAGAAATTATCTCTCTCTCTATATATATATATGTAAAATTTTTATTAAAATTGTTGTCCAAGAAGGTTGGCGATATAATTGTTTATGGATATTTCTATTCAGCATGATAATTTGTAATTCTATGAAGATTTTGGATTCCGTTATTTTCTTAAAATCCTGTAAGGCAAAAGAAAAATGAGACAAAAATTAGCACCATTCATTCATTCTGTTATCACCAGCTGTATCCGAGATAAAACCAAAAGTTGAAAACACACCAGACAACCACTCAAGTCGCTCCATCTACTGAAATAAATACTTTCGCCTTTTTTTAAAGATGACTTGTATCTTCGTGTTGACACGGCTCTCGACAACTTCCAAGCTGTTTCCAACTATTCGATTTGCTTCTTGTCGTTTGCATCAATTCGTGGTATGGTTTTCAGGCACTTTCCAAAGATGACGTGCAGGTCTGTGATATCTAGTAGTCAATTCGAAGAACAAATCTGAACTAAAACGAGATTCGAACCCGTGTTTCCTATTCAAAAATCAAACATTCTGACCATTTAGCCACGGGAATGAAACAAAGACCAAGGGAAAAATTTATTGGTAAGAAAAACTAAAAAATAAGATGGCTGGCTGTGGTTTTCGGGATGACAGCAAAGGAGTTTGATGAACAATTCGTTCAATGGCCGATTTTAATTCGGGCTTGTCCTTCCTTTACTTATGACTATATAGCGTTGAAACACCGGATCACCGAAGTTAAGCAACGTCCACTCTCATAGATATGAAATCAGATAGATAGATAGATAGATAGATAGATAGATAGATGTGAAATCACATAGATAGATAGATAGATAGATAGATAGATAGATAGATAGATAGATAGATAGATATGAAATTACATAGATGTGAAATCACATAGATAGATAGATAGATATGAAATTACATAGATATGAAATCACATAGATAGATAGATGTGAAATCACATAGATAGATAGACAGATAGATAGACAGATAGATGTGAAATCACATAGATAGATAGATAGATGTGAAATCACATAGACATGTAGATAGATAGATAGATAGATAGATAGATAGATAGATAGATAGATAGATAGATATGAAATTACATAGATATGAAATCACATAGATAGATATGAAATCACATAGATAGATAGATAGATAGATAGATATGAAATCACATAGATAGATAGATAGATAGATAGATAGGAACGAAGTAACGAACGGATAGTTTTCTATATTCTTCTTTTTGCTTATGGCCACATAGTGTTGAAACGGCGGATCACCGAAGTTAAGCAACATCGAGTCTGGTCAGTACTTAGATGGATGAACACTTGGGAATACAAGGTGTTACAATTTTGGATATGTGGGTGTTGGAATGAGGAGCCGAGTTCTAATTCCAGTCGGGTTCGTTTTATTCAATTACGAGAAAATATCCTCGGCAAATGTATGAATTCACATGTTTCCCCAGCTGTGGCTTAATTAGTAAGACTTATATTATTAAATCGCTATATATATATATATATATATATATATATATATATATATATATATATATACTTAGTTGAAATTGATGCGAATTTGTAACAACTAATTATGTTAGCTCTATCACCGATAGTGAGCGCTTTCAATAAGTACCGCGCGTATATAATATATAAATAATATATACAGAAATTACACACACACACACACATATATATATATATGTATATATTATTTATATATTATATATAATATATAAATATATATATATATAAAAATATATACAGAAATTACACACACACACACACACACACACACACACACACATATATATATATATATATATATATATATATATATATATGTACTCTCCCGTCGTATTCGACCTATAAGGTCTAGCAGCTCAGTTCATTGGAACCGACAGCCCAGTGAAGGTTTTGTGCAGGACCATCCACACTTTTTGAAGGGCCGAATACAGAGACCTCGTGCCCTACGTGCCACAAGGTCCCCAAACGACCCTCCACGGGTACGACACAGTGAACCAACTTTCCTTGCGGTAGATGAAGCAATTGATTCAATGTATTTGTTCCATCTTAGGTCAGCGGACATCGTGTAACTAAGCAGGCGCATCAGATATTCTAATGGGAGACAGGAAGGGTTCACTGTGGAGAGTAGCTTTGTTTTTGAGGCGTTAAAGTTTACCAGCCATTTTCTGCCCCACTTCAAGTCTATCTTCAGTAATCAAGACTTAGGACAGTCACCTGTCACCTAAAAGAGGAAGAAAAATGATTGAACATTGTCAACATCTAGCGGAGGTGTTGATGCAGAGGTAACGGAGGATAATTTTCAGTTAGCTGTCAGAGCAAGCTTCGATGCCAGAAATGGCGTTTTGCGCTCCAAGAAATGTAATTCCAAACAGTTTGAATTCTGAGTTTTTCTTCTCCTAGACTAGTTACCACCCATGACTATAGAAACGAATTTGTCTATATTTCTGAGATGAGGTATCGTAATTACTTACACTATTTACATTGTTCGGACTCTTGTCCTCATCTTCGATGCCATAGTCATTCGTTGGCTCAGGCCTTCTTCAGGTAATTGGAATTTCGAACTAAACCCTTTATTTCGTCAACCGGCGTAGATTGTTCTAGTTCCACGTGCCATCCCTCTTCCATATTTCCCCCTTAAACTCAATTCTCCAGTGACTTGACCCAAAGAATTGTGAGTTCAATACCTGGCTAAAACAGAGGTGAACAAAAACTATTAAATAAAAGTTTAACAGACTATTACTTTTTAGAGGGCTTCCTGAGGTTGATCATGTGGTCAGATACAAGCCAAAATATGGTATATCGATTTTGATTGGCTGACTCAGCGTGGGAATGATAGATATGGAGAAAGTTTTTTTCATGGAGTCAAGTCTTAATCGTCAATGTCGACGTGTTTTCTTTTGTGTCTGAAACGACTCCCCCAATGTTTAGATAGACATGAACGTTAATAAAATAGTTAAATTAAAATTCTCCGTGTTGAAGTTCTTTTATCTCTGGACCCAAAACAACTAGCGACCACTAGCGACGTGAGAAGAATGCAAATTTAGTATCGAATTGACGCCGTCGCCTAAGACCTCACAGCATGACGGGTGAGGAGGCTATAAAATATGGTAAGTAATTTAGCACCGATGACCATGACCATCCCCACGAGCGCTAAGCTACAAAACTTGGTGTGTTGAGTTAAAGGGAGATAACTGATATTGAGACAGCTAGAAGAGGCGTGGCATGTGGAACTAGAAAAGATTTAACCCGGTAGAGGAAATAAAGGCTTCTGTTCGAAATTCCAATCACCTGAAGGCCGGAGCGTAGGACGGCCGAAACGTGAATATGGCAACGAAGATTGGAACAACAGTCCAAAAAAGTAACTCGAAAATAAATTATCTTATTTAATTCATAGCTGGATGGGTGCCGGGAAGAGGCGGTTTTATGCTTTTTCCTAAGAGATTTAGCTCTGAGGGAATGTAACAGAATCGGCTGGAAATTGAACTCAGTTCTACGATTCCATTTTTCTGTGACGATCACCGTGATGCTAGCGGCATATCCTACGAGGCGAAAATTTGATGTTTCCGGATCTTGAAAAAAGGAATAGGAAAATATGATTTTATATCCGAATTTCCGATCTGTCTTTGCGTCGCAAACAAACAAAAGAAGAAAAAAATGGTAACATTGGTTCTAAACATCGACGATGACAATTCTTCGCTTGAGGCGACGCTCTAAGACGGAATGTTATTACGAACCATTTTTCTGCAGTGCCCCGACGAGCGTGAAAAGAAATTGACTTCGTTTAGATCTCATTTTATCGTCACATTTACACATTATTATTATTATTATTATTGTTGTTGTTGTTGTTATTATTATTATCATTATTATTATTATTATTATTATTATTATTCGTAATTTTAGCCAATGAATATTAGATTGGTATTTTCTCATTTTTATTTTGAAAAGAAAGAAAAGAAGATAGATTGAACTTGTAGTAGTGATGAATTCGACCTAATATTAAATATTATTATTATTAGTAGTAGTAGTAGTAGTAGTATTTAGTAAAGAGAGGAAAGGAAAACGACTGTACCCTCATCGTAGTAGTGGTGATGTGAGAACTGCCATTATTATTATTATTATTTCCTTTGGTTTCTGTTGTATACACATTTCTTTCCGGGTCCCAACCAGAAACCTAATTTTAGAAATGGCTTCATGAGATTATCCACTGATCATTTTATTATTATTATTATTATTATTATTATTATTTAGTAAAGCGAGGAAATGAGAAAGACTGTCCCCTCATCGTAGTAGTGGTGATGGTGTTAGACCTGCCATTATTATTATTATTATCATTATCATTATTATTAAGCAAAGAAAGAAAGGCAGAATGAACGTATTCTCAGCCTAGTGGTAAGATCATGGTCCTACTATTTACTATTTTTATTACGTAAAAAGAGGATAAGAGACAAACTGTATTCCTGTCGTAGTCGTTGTCATTGGGTCAGATCTATAGTTTATTATTATTATTATTATTATTATTATTATTATTATTTTCTTTGATTTCTTGTGTGTACTCATTTCTTTCGGGGTCCAGACCAAAGACCTAAAGTTAGAAATGGCATCACGACATTTTCCACTGGGCAAAACACACAGACACACATATACATATTTTACATAGATAAAGCCCTTCGTAAGGTGTGGGCTGTACTTGTGAGTATATATTTTTTGTATTTCTTTAAGGCATTGGCGACCAGGGATTCCTTCAATAAGTCTATTGGATTCTTTTCCCAATCAATCCGAGTGCTCCAACTACAAGTGGAATTGTTAATGTTCTCATGTGTCACATTTTTCAGATTTCGATTTCAAGGTCCTTGTATTTTGATAGTTATCTGATGATCTTCAAAGATACATAAGTTTGCAAGGACTGCCATATCAATTTATTATTATTATTATTATTATTATTATTATTATTTGTGCGTGGCATGTTTCCTGCATTATATCCTGTCGATCCGGGACCAAGCTATGGTTTTTAGACCCTATAGGAGAATTGTCATTTAATTGATAGCACATTTCTTAGTATATAGTGTGTGCCGAGTAAGGCGATCTTCTGGACAACTTGTATGTTGATGTTACCTTGGGACACTGTTAGTAAAATTGTTCACTCTTTATCTCACAAGACCCAGAGCTCCGATTACTATTGGCACAGTCTAACTCTTCATTCCCCACATCTTGTTTATCTCAATCTCCAGATCGTTGTATTCGGACAATTTCTCGATAATTTTCATGGAAGTGGTTCTCTCAGATGGTACTGCTATGTCAATAAACATACACTTGCTGAATTTATTGGATTTTATAATAATATCAGGTTTGTTGGCTTTTATTCTCCTGTCAGTTTGAATTGGCATGTCCCAGAGGATAGTTACATCGTTATTTTCGGAAACTGTGTCTGGTTGGTGGTCATACCATCTCTCAGTGGTTTCGATTTTGTGCTCCTTGCGTATCTTCCAGTTCACATATGTTGCTACCTTGTTATGTCTGTGGGTATATTCATTTTTTGTTAGTTCTGGACATCTTGAGATAATATAGTCGACAGTTTCATCATATTTTCCGCAGATCCTGTATTTCAGGTTAGTTCCATCCTTGTTTATGTGACAGCGATAGGATCTGGTTTCGAGGCTATTATTATTATTATTATTATTTAAGCATTTCAGGCGGGAGTGTCACTAGTACACAAGGGAATACAGAGAGTGAAAGTAAGGGAAAAGAATGGGTATAGTGTGGATGAGGAAAGAATAAAAAGAAGAACGATATCGATTGACATTACACTTAAATTTTTGAAAATTATATTTATCGGGGAAGCAAGTAAGAGGAAGAGAGTTCGGAAAGTGCAAAAGAAGAAGCTGTTGGAGTAGAAGAGGCGGTTATATTTAACTGTTTCGACAGTAAAAGTGTGAGACATAGATCCCAACCTAGTAGTACGCTTAGATTCATGCAGTCGGGGCAACAGTGAAAATAGTACTTCAGAGCAGATGCCATGAAAATATTTATAAAAAAGACAGAGGGAAGCCACATAACGTCGGTGATAAAGCAACTGGAGTCGAGACCCCAGGTCAGGACCGATCACATTGTACACCCGTCTTTAGATTTTATCAAGAACCTCGAGATGAACAGCGGGTAGGGGCACCAGACCATATATGGCAACAATATTCCATGGATGGACGAATGGTAGATTTATCGATGTGAAGGACGGTCTCAGGGGACTATTTTCTTTTGTTCTTCTGTTGACTACAATCCGCTCGAGATATAGAAAGAGCCAAGGTGGTAAATAGATGTGTTCTGTTTGAATAAATTCTTGTCCAGCGTTTATATCTTCTTTACTTTGATAATACCAGGGATTCTCACTATTTACATTATTCGGACTATTGTCCTCATCTTTGTCGCCATATTTATTACAACGTTTCGGCCGTTGTACGCTCCGGCCTTCTACAGGTGGTTGGAATGTCGAACTGAACCCTTTATTTCGCTCACTGGGGTAGACTGTTCTAATTCCACGTGCCATCTTTGATGGATGTCAGTTATCAGTTATCTCCTGTTAATTTTCCTCTGAAAGTTCTCCACTGCCTTAACCGGGTATTGAACTCACACCCTTTGGGTCCTGTCACTCGACCTAAGCAACGCCTTTATCCACTGTGCTATAGGACACATGGCACAATGGATAAAGGCGTTGCTTAGGTCCAGTGACAGGACCCAAAGAGTGTGAGATCAATACTACTAGATTGGCAATTAGGACTCACCGTTTACTGTCGAATTAGCCAGATACCACCATCTTTTCTATTCACACAGTTTTTGTTCTGGCACTGTTCGCCTATGGAATTCCCTTCTGATTTATTGCTTCCCTGATAACTACAATATTCAAAACTTTTAATTTTGATGTCAATCGTCATCATGTGTCTTTGTTGAACCCGTTCTTTTATTGTCTTTTTCTTCACTTGTTCTCACCAAACCTTTCACTCTGCACCCTATTGGCAAACTATATCTGAAGAGAAAGTCTCTGTATGTGTGTGTGGGGGGAGAGGGGGGAGGTAAAAGATAGAAAGTAATAGAGAAGCAAAAGAAAAAAAGATTGCGAGAACGGGAAGAGAGAGAGAGAGAGAGAGAGAGAGAGCGTGGGAAATGAGAGAAACAAGAGAGAGAGAGGGTAGGAAAAGAGAGAAGCAAGAGAGAGAAGAGAAGCGAAAGAGAGAGGCAAAAGAGGGAAAAGCAAGAGAGAAGAGAACAGAGAGAAAGGCGAAAGTGAGAGTAAGAGATAGAGAGACAGGAAAGAGGGAGAGAGGGAGTGGTACAAAAGAGAAAGAAAGAGAGAGAGGGTGGGAAAAGAGAGAAGCAAAAAGAGAGAGAAAAAGAAAAGGCAAAAAGAGAGAAAAAGAGATAGAGAGGCGGTGGTAAAAAGAGAAAGAGAGAGGGGGGGAAAAGAGAGAATCAAAAAGAGAGAGAGAGAAAGGCAAAAAAGAGAGAAAGAGATAGAGAGGGAGTGGTACAAAAGAGAAAGAGAGAGGGGTGGGAAAAGAGAGAAGCAAAAGAGAGAGAGAAAGAGAAAGGCAAAAGAGAGAGAAAGAGATAGAGAGGGAGTGGTACAAATGAGAAAGAGAGAGGGGGTGGGAAAAGAGAGAAGCAAAAGTGAGAGAGAAAGAGAAAGGCAAAAGAGAGAGAAAGAGATAGAGAGGGAGTGGTACAAAAGAGAAAGAGAGACAAAATAGAGTGGGTAAATGAATGACAAAACAGGATAAGACACGACGAATAAAATATAACTGTACTTATTTTTTTTTAAAGGGAATTAAGAAAATAAAATGATTTATAACTCAACCTATCTGTAATATAATCGGTTCTGACCTGGCATCTCGGCTTCATTCATTTTCGCACGGTCATGATGTGACTTCCCTCTGTCTCTGTCTGTCAAATAATTTCATGAGCTGTTCTCCTTAGTGCCCCGACTGCAAGAATTCAAACGTTCTACTAGAGTGGCAATTAGGTCTCACCGTTTTAATGTTGAAATAGCCAGATGAAAACGTCTCTTCTATTCTATAAATTTCTTTTCTCGCGCTTCTCGCCTGTAGATCTCCCTTCCAATTTCTTGCTTCCCTGTCAACTACAATCTTCAAAAATTCAATTACCATCTTCTGTCTTCTTCAACCCTGTTCCATTTTTTGTGCTTTCCTCAATCCTCCACATTTTCCGTCTTCTCATTTTCCTTCACATCCTGTAATCACCCCCCCCCATTGTAGTAGTGGTGGTGGTGTTAGACCTGCCATTATCATTATTATTATTATTATTATTAAGTAAAGAGAGGAAAGGAGAAAGACTATACTCTCATCGTAGTAATGATGATAGTGTTAGTGCTGCCATTATTATTATTATTAAGTAAAGAGACGAATGGAGAAAGACTGTACTCCCATCGTAGTAGTGGTGATGTTGTTAGACCTACCATTATTATTATTATTATTAAATAAAGGCGGGAAAAGCGAAAGACTGTATTCTCACAGTAGTAGTGGTGATGATGTTAGACCTCCATTATTATTATTATTATTATTATTAAGTAATTGATGGGAAAGAAGACTGTACTGTCATCGTAGTCGTGGTGATAGTGTTAGACCTGGCATCATCATCATTATTATTACTATTATTATTATTATTATTAAGTAAAGAGAGGAAACGAGAAAGACTGTACTCTCATCGTAGTAGTGATGATGGTGTTACACCTGCCATTATTATTATTATTATTATTATTATTATTAAATAAAGGCGGGAAAGGGGAAAGGCTGTACTCTCACTGCAGTAGTGGTGATGATGTTAGACCTCCATTAATATTATTAATATTATTATTATTATTATTAAATAAAGGCGGGAAAAGCGAAAGACTGTACTCTCACAGTAGTAGTGGTGATGATGTTAGACCTCAATTATTATTATTATTATTAAGTAATTGATGGGAAAGAAGACTGTACTGTCATCGTAGTCGTGGTGATAGTGTTAGTGCTGCCATTATTATTATTATTATTAAGTAAAGAGACGAATGGAGAAAGACTGTACTCTCATCGTAGTAGTGGTGATGGTGTTAGACCTGCCATTATTATTATTATTATTAAGTAAAGATGGAAAAAAAGACTGTACTGTCATCGTAGTTGTGGTGATAGTGTTAGACCTGCCATTATTATTAAAAAGTGAGAAAATAAAAAAGTCAATATCGTCGCCGTAGTAGTGATGATGGTGTTAGACTTGCCATTTAGTAATTTTACTTCGTAAAGGAAAAGATGGAGAACGACTGTCATGGTGACGGTCGTGAACCTCGTATATATTACTATTATTATCTAGAGGCGGGGGCGGGTGTGCGGGGAATGACTGTCCTCTCATTGTGGCAGTGATAGTGTGATTAACATCAATCTAATTTACACATCGTTCCGATTCGCTTTGTCCTGTTTCATTTTATTCCATTTCTCTTTACACCAAGTTCTTTCTCCTCATCTTCACACCATTTTCTATCCCCTCCCCTCTTATTGCTGTGCCCTTACGCGAACCCATCGTCTCGTTCCTTCCAGATTGGCGCACATCAATTGATTCGATTGACGTCAAGTTAAAAAAAAAAATCAGACGAGTTGGTCACGAACAATCTTCCATATCAACCATTTTTTTTTTCTCTTCGATTTTATTTTTTTGGGTTTCCTCTCAATATATAATTATTACTCAATATATTTTCAATTTCTTTCCTCTCTCGCTCCTGTCCATTAATCTACCATGTTATTTTGCTTCATTGTTTTTTTTTATATATATATTTTCTATTTATTTATTTATTTATCTTTTTTCTTTGTCTTCCATGTTTTTCATTTCCAGTTTTCTTTCGAAAAACGGCGAGACACGTGTATGAACTCGAATAATACATATTGTAAAATTGCTGGTACATGTTATGTTAACATACTAGCAGCATGGCCCGGCGTTGCCCGTGCTTGATTCAAAAATCGTACGGCTCATACAGCAATCGTTATCACTTGACTTAAAATATTTTTGCCCTTCCTTTTTTTAAAGAGTGCCCTTTGCCGTGCTGATGTTGCTACATGCCTTACTTCTTGCCTATCTCACACTGTGAATTTTTTCTAAGCTCTATACTAAACATTAAATCTGTTAAGAAAAAAGAACTAAACAAAATGAACACAAAACGATCAGCTTTAAAAAAGGACTCGTAACTGGAAAAGCCGAATGAAAAAAGAATGTTAACAACAAATACTTTTTTCACACCCAACCCATTTCTGCAGAAACAGAATCAACGTTGAGTTTAAGCAAGCGAATGAGCCAATTGGAGTAAAGTGCCATGCAGATTTAAATTTTTCCCACTTGTGACGAATGCAGCTATCGATTTATTTTGCATGCTAGTTAACATTCGTGTCAGTCAGCTGTTGGCTCTCACGCTGGCCAATAGAATCTTCCTGCTTATTCGTGGCAGCCACCTATTGGCTCTCACTCTGGCCAGTACAAAATGGCCGCAAACTACATGAAAACTGCCGTAGAAGCATGAAAAATTCGATTATTTCCACTATCGATGGGAGTTGGGAAATGCAAAGTCGGTCTTGGCCTTCCCTTTAACTTGGAGCATGTGCATGTAAATTTTAGTGAAAATCCGTCGAAAATTGCGGGCGTGCATTCACACACACACACACACACACACACACACACACACACACACACACACACACGCACATCCTGCCTTTTATAGATAGAGATAACGATTATAAGCATAGATAGATGTGCGGATGGTGTAACGGATAGCGTCTCTGAATAAGTAATCGGAGTTCACATTCAAGTCATGTTCCTTGAAAAAATAAAAAACAAAAAAATAACAAAAAAAAACCCAAAAATGTACTGATTGTATATGTTGCATTCATTTATCGAGCTGAGGAATTTATACCTTTCGCAAGGTATGAATCCATTACCTCCCCAGCTATGGATAAAATAGTAGGACTTGTTTCTAGAAAGGTCATTCTTATTATCATTGCAATATTCACTCACAAAAAAAATTATTTTTACAATCCATAAAGGGTTGACAATCCGTAAAAACAAATCTATAACTATATATTTATATCCGTTCAGAGATCCCTCTATATCGCTGTGTTCATATACCGTCTTCTCAACTAAGCAATATTAAGAGGAAAAAGATCATTCAGGCCTTCAGCAATGGCACCAAGGTTCATACCTTGGCTTCCATCTTCAAAGTCCATTCAAGAACCATCAAGTGTAAATAAGTTTTAAAAATAGGGGACAGTACAGTGATAACTGGATCAGGAGGTCACAACAGCAAGAGGGATCATCGTTTCAAGTGACAACTAAGACGTATGACACGTGAGAGAGGAGTTTCAGCTATGACAGTTCAAATAGCAGTGAAAATAATACTTGCAAATGAAATCGTACGTGAAAACTGAGACAACTTGTGACTCCAGGACAGGAAGTTAGAAGGTTAGAGAGGGCGAAGATCATCTTGAATCTTTCGAAAAATGATCTTAAAATTATATATATATTTGAAAATTATTTCAATCATTCTTGAGCTTCCGATCCTTAGGTATAATTAATTAATGATGAACATGTCATTTTCGTTTATGATCGATTTCATCACGATTCTTCGGTTAAGCTTTATTAATTATATATTCTTATTGTTCGATGTAGAGTCCAATAGAGTTAAAAAAAAGAAAAAAAAACGTGGAGAATTCCAGTAAGATATCTTTAATCATTTCTATGAGACAACTGTTCAAGGCTTAATGTAACAACTGAATATTTTGCTGTTACACGATTTGGACAATTTTGCCATCACACACACACACATATATATATATATATATATATATATATATATATTGGAAAAACACAATTGTTTTTGCACAAAATCAATTTGAAAACACGATGAATCACGAGAATGAAAAGGGGACAACTCATATCGAGTTATACTTATTATAAAACCCAGGTTGTTTCTGTGTGTGTATGTTCGTTTATATATGGGAACACACAAACACAAACAACGTGGGTTTTAAAATAAGTATAACTCGATATGAGTAGTCCCCCTTTCATTCTCGCGACAGCGATGCCTCTTAATCGTGTTTTCAAATTGATTTCGTGCAAAAACAATTGTGTTTTTCCAATTTTTGACGCTGTCAGAACCACCGCAATGTAATTTTACGTAGTCCTGTGAAGTTTTGTTGAAATTGGTTGACAAATGTAGGAAATCCGATCCAATATATAAACACACACACACATACACTACACAACACCCTGGGTTTTATAATAAGTATGATATATATATATATATATATATATATGTTTATTAATTCACAATAAAATCCAGAATTACTTCATATGGGGAATAAGCTTATATAATTCTTCAGTCTTATCAACCCCAGTATAGACACTAGATAATATAACGTTGACCTATATTTTAAAATATTAACATCTAGTTTCTATAAAGAAAATTACTTAAAGAAAATTTAAAATTTAAAAATTAGAGAAGACTTTTATAATTATTTAAAATCTTTAAGGAAGAATATTTAAAAGATAGCATCTAAAATGATAATTAATGAAATAATTATTAAAGAGAACCTATTAAGTAAATTTAATAAAAAAAATATTATATATTAAATATATATTAATAGATAATAAATATAAACTAAAAAAATAAGTAAATTTAAAAAAAATATATAATGAAATAAATTATTAAATATAAATTAAAAAAAAAATTAAATGTAAATATAAATCAATTCTTAAATATAAAAACAAATTGATCAAAATAGAATTAACTATTAAATATAAGTGAAAAATATGAGTTTTAAATATTAAATCTAAAGGTGAATATAAATTTGTAATTTAAATAAAATCAAATAACCACGTTGGGAATGACTGGCCACTATTATTAGTTTTCACAAAATCATCAGGTACACAGTAACATTTATCGATCTCCCCATGAGGTAGGATGTGCCACAAGTCCGAATATCATGTGGGGCAATAAATGAGGCCGGGTCTGTCTACATCCCCGGAAGGGGCTCTGCCCTTCGGCATAGCCTCGTCCGGGTTCCTCTCTGCACGAAGGCTGAGATTTCGAGAACAGCTAAGAGCACCAGCTGCCTAACTATCTGATCTTCAGGTAGCCAGTGTATACTTTATATACCACAGGGTGAGTTGAATTTGACAAGCAAACCAAACCCCACTGTTGTTCAGATCACCCAGCCAAGGTGTGAGTTCAATTTGACAAGCAAACGAAACCCCATTGTTGTTCAGATCACCCAGCCAAGGTGTGAGTTCAATTTGACAAGCAAACGAAACCCTATTGTTGTTCAGATCACCCAGCCAAGGTATGAGTTCAATTTGACAAGCAAACCAAACCCCACTGTTGTTCAGATCACCCAGCCAAGGTGTGAGTTCAATTTGACAAGCAAACCAAACCCCATTGTTGTTCAGATCCCCCAGCCAAGGTGTGAGTTCAATTTGACAAGCAAACGAAACCCTATTGTTGTTCAGATCACCCAGCCAAGGTGTGAGTTCAATTTGACAAGCAAACGAAACCCTATTGTTGTTCAGATCTCCAGCCAAGGTATGAGTTCAATTTGACAAGCAAACCAAACCCCACTGTTGTTCAGATCACCCAGCCAAGGTGTGAGTTCAATTTGACAAGCAAACCAAACCCCATTGTTGTTCAGATCACCCAGCCAAGGTGTGAGTTCAATTTGACAAGCAAACCAAACCCTATTGTTGTTCAGATCACCCAGCCAAGGTGTGAGTTCAATTTGACAAGCAAACCAAACCCTATTGTTGTTCAGATCACCCAGCCAAGGTATGAGTTCAATTTGACAAGCAAACGAAACCCCACTGTTGTTCAGATCACCCAGCCAAGGTGTAAAATGACAAAAAAAAAATAGTTTCCTCCATTTTTGTCATTTTACGCCTTGCCTGGGTGATCTGAGCAACATGGTTTGGTTGACTTATATATATATATATATATATATATATATATATATATATATATATATATATATATATATATATATTGGTGGACTCCCTGTTGATTTCGACGTATAAGTTCAAGCAGATCAGTTCTAGGAAGCCGACAGCCAGACACCAGCATCTATGAATTGATTATAGTGGTGAAGGCTTTGTGTAGAATCAACCACTCTTTTTGAAGGGTCGAATATAGAGACCTGGTGCACTACATGCCACAAGGTCCCCAAACGACCCTCCGCAGGTTTTGAATTCAGAGTTGTCCTTCTCCTAGACCAGTTGCCATCCAAGGCTATAGAACCCAGTCTGTCCTGCTATTTACCCATAGCTGGAGGCACGGTGGAAGAGTGGATAACGGATTGGATTTAGGAATCGGAGAGCCGAGT